GGAAAGAGACAGAATTGTTTTTTTTTTTTTCCCATAAAATATTTAAATGTTTAATTTTGGGTCTCGAGAGACAGAGAATGGTTGCATGAGGTTGCCCATATCTTGTAAAGAAAATGTAATTTTTCCATTAAAATAAAGAACCATATAATAAAATAAAAATATAGACCCATTAAAATAACATTAATAGCATAAATAATTTAATTCGTGTCACATTCTTATTTATGGGATAGAGGATATGCCGTTTTAGCTTAATATTTACATTTCCTATGTTTATACTCGCCTAAATCTAACTATATAATTAATGAATGTCTAATAAAAAAAGAAATGGTCCATCATGGAAGAAATTAAATAAATTACTCATCCTTCAAAGCAATAACCTTTTAAAAAAATACATTTTATTATAAATTAATGACTTAAATCTTTTAAATTTATAATTTATAAATACATTCAGCCACCAAAATGGGAGGACATTTACGTCATTTACTTAATTCAACAATAACATAAAACGTGTGGTGTCTGAGGGTGTATGTGGACACACGTGTGAGAGAGAAAAAAACATGAGACACGTGGCATCTACTTTTGCAGGCTGATTCATCACGGGTTCTTCGTTTCTTCCCTATACATAATTATTGTGGCCCCCACTCACCACCTCCGCGTTCATTTTCGTGCTGGATACTATTTGTATTTTGAGTTCAAATTTAAAATTTCGCTTTTTAATTTTAAATATCTACTTTATAACTTCTTTTTCTAAATATTTAATAGAGTTGTGTGTATTTAATTATTTGATTCTCTGCAACCAAAGTGGACCCCCACCATAAAATTTAACAAAAACTAAAACATATGGGCCGAGGACAAACAGTAGTAGGCCCAATGGACTTTCATTTTGTACACGTGGATAATGTTTTATTGTCACTATTTTAAAAACATCGTATGAAATTGTGTTCATTATTCTTAAAAAAGATATTTAGTATTAAATTATATTATATTTGATGTTTTATTATATGGTAAATATTTTTTCTTCCCATTTATTACTCTTATAAATAAAGATAATTTTCATAGACGTGGTCGTTACAACAAATCTTATAAATTCTAATTAACAAGTTTTATAAATTCTATCAATATAAGTTAAGATAAGAGATCACATTGAAAATTAGGAATTAGGAATGTACATGATCGGGATTGGGTTGAGATGACATTTAAATAATATAATAAATAATATAAATAGATTTAAATTAAAATAAAAAAATATATGTATTTGTTTACGTCAAATGCAAACATTAAAGTTTTTAAATTGGCAAGTATCACTCTAACAAATTCATTAATACGAAAAAATTCTTAATATATTTTAGGTTTTACTCACAAACCCAAAACCGAACCAATTTTTTTCGGGTTTAGAAAAATGAACCAAATCGAAATGCTAATCCAACCCAACTTAACTCTTATCATTCAGGTTGGGTTGGTCGGGATTGTACACCTCTATTGAAAGTAAAAATTAAGCTATATTTAAATTATAATTATCTTTTATATTTTGGTTTGATGATGCTAAATTTTATTAAACAATGCTTTATGTTTTTTTATGGATTGTATTATATATAATAAAAAAAAAATAACTAAAAAAATTAAAAACGAAAAAACAACGTTTTTTTGAGAAAGGGTTGACCAAATTTATTTATTTATTTATTTAACAACCTATTTATTTAGGGAACAAAAAAATCAAATATTTTAAATGCAATGAAAAACAATTTCAGCCGGTGTTCTCGATACCAACCAAGGTTCAGTGGTCCTTCATAAATGAACAGTCCTTTCCATCATAATAATAATAATTTTAAATTAAAAATTCAAATTCAAAATTTTAAATTTTTTATTAAATTTTAATGATGTATAATATGTCCAAATTTTTTTAAATATATTATTTTATTTTACTAAATTTCATTCATTATTTTAGTACAACGTTCAAATCTCCGTACTACATCTACTTACTAAAAATAAAATAGTGTTTATAAATATTTAAATATTTTTTTACGAAGTCAATTTTCATGGACTTTAAAAAAATCATAAACTGGTATATAATTTAGATGTATTAAATCTTAAAATTTTAAAATCTTTCATTTAATTTATAAATGAGTTGTCGGTATATTTTTAAATTTATTGCAATTCATTATTACAAAAAAGATTGATTAAGTTAAAATATAAGAAAATTGAAACATTTAAAATTATAATAATAAAAAACTTAAAAACTACATTAATTTATTAGTTTTTTAAAAACTGGGAAACCAGGCCTCCATAAAATGATTGGTGCGTGGACCAATATTTGTAATTGGACAACTCTGCCAGCTCATTTCTTCCAGATTGCTTGACATAAATGTGAACCAATATTCTTTTTTTATTTTAGTTTTATTGGTTGGTTAATTAAATGCTACAAAGTGGACCATAAATAAAATTTAGAGTATATTTTCCTTATCCGTAGTCATATATTATCTTTTTTAAAAAATTTACGTTACACCCCATAAAATAACTTATTATCCATTTCATTATTTTATTTTTCTCAAATTTACATAATAAATGATAATTTAAATTATTAGCTAAGCTAATGAAATAATGGAGAAGGATGTGACAATTGATTGTTTAAACAAAATAAATTTTTACTGAAATACGATGGTCTAAAAGAACTTCAGTCAAAGGAATCGCCGCCGTCCGTCTCAGCTTGCGGATAGTGGTTAGCTGCGGCGGCTCAATCTCACCGGACGAATGGAAACCCATCGCCTTCACCGGCGGGAAAAAGCATGGATCTACAAACGGGGCAAGTAATCCGAAACTCATCAATCCACGTATCCAAACAGTCCCGATGGAAGACATGGCAGCAATTACAGAGCTCTCTCATCGTCTCCGATCTCTCCATTTCACACAAACAGATCGTACACTTTCGATTCTCTTCATCCACCTTATTTTCCGGCGACCCCCTCCCCTGTTTTTCAACAAAATCCCCATACTCGATGATCGGAAGGCTGGTCTTGATCCTGACCTGTAAATCGACGGCCGGGACAGTGACCAGCGAGGGGTAGCGGCCCTCGGTGAGCAACACGTAGCTTGTAGGGCGCTCGAAGGGAGAGTCAGCGACAAGCTCCGGTGAGGGCTTGATGAGGCCGAAATGAGCTGCGAGAAGCTTGAATTGGAGGAGGATTCTGGTGAAGGCTTGATGGAGGATTTGAGAGCTTGTTTGGGCGTTAATGGCGAAATGGAGGAACCCCATGAGGTTTTTATGGATCAAAACGAAGGAAAATCCCCAAAATGCTCTGTTTTTTATGACGGATTTGGAGTTTTAAAGGGGAAAAGTTGGATAAAGCCGGCGGGTGAATTCGTATAAAATATATAGGTCCCCTTACCAACCCACAACAAAAATAATATAATCTTTAGAATTGAGCATGTACCATATGGAATGGACAAGGCAGCTGGATCCTAGTATACCTTCATTCAATCTCAATCCGTTAACCTCATCGTTTCAAACGTATTTGGTAAGGAGAGATTTCTACAAATTTATAAGGAATGTTCTGTTCTCTTCTCCAACGCTCTAACAATTCACCCCTCTTAGAGCGTTAGTGTTTCGCTGGTACACTGGTGTTTGACTCTGATACCATTTGTAACAGTCCAAACTCACTACTAACAAATATTGTCCACTTTGGATCGTTAAGTATAGTCGTCAATCTCATGATTTTAAGACACATTTGCTAGTGAGAGATTTTCAAACCCTTATAAGTATGTTCTATTTTCCTCTCCAACCGTCATATTTTGTCTCTATCTCGTTCAAGATTATTTCAAGTATCACATGAAATTTGGGATGTCATCATTGTTGCCTCCTAATGGAGTGCAAGTTCTATGACTCTTCCACTTCCTTTATTGCCCCTCTCCGCTTTACGATTTAGAAAATTGAGTTTGTCAAATAAACATCCTAATGCTTGCGAGCAGTGCGAAGGATAAATAGAACTAGACATTTTTTAGTTACGACCAAGTATGATAACAGTTTAATAAGTTTTTGTTTCGATAATTATGATTATTAATCTCGCTGTGTCATCTAAACTACATAATAAAGAGACAACTCATTCTAATAAAGCTTAAATCTATATAAAAAACATGTGAGTCGTGTCGTGGTTGGAACTGAGATACAACATTTTTTTGAAAAGGCCTAAAATTTAGGGCTTAAGTTAGTTGGTTTTTTAAATAAAATATTGCTTGATTTTTAAAATCCATGTTCTGTAATATTTTTTTCTTTTTTGAATTTTTTAAACCCTATAAAAGTACAGAATTTAACATTTCAAAATAATAATAATAATAATAATTTCCTAAAATAAGTAAGTTATATATCAGTTTTTTTATTGGGTTAATTTAAACGATTTTCCAAGGCGAAACCAAATCATTGCTGCGATCCCACACTACTGCGCCTCCAAGAAAGCCAAAAAGCCCCGGCGGCCGTCCTCATTTCTCCTCTGCCACTCATATCCCCTTTTGCCTATGCACCTTATTTTCTCTGAGTATATCAGCATTTTTCGAAGGTTTCTCTCCCTTTCTCTCTCAGATTGTCGTTGGGTGTTTCTTTTAATAGTTTTTTCCCCATTTATTTTAATCCTGTGGAATCGATCTGATTTTGTTGACGCTTGAGCTTCTGGGAATCCTGCGAATATTCGTTTATTGTCCCTTTTAGATAAGCGTTTTGGGTATTGCCTTTTTTCGCTATTTTCTTTCTGGGTTTTCGATTTTGCTCATCTCTAGATCGGGTTTCGTAGTTTTCATGGATTACATTGATTGCAATATTGATTTGATCGACAAATAGTGTTAGGTTTTGTGCGTTGAGTTTCTGTGTTGTTATCTTTGTTACGGTATATGTGTTCTTGTTCCTTGAATCTCTGATTGAGTTGCTCTTTGTTCTTTCTTTCATTTTTTTTTTGGTTGCTGAGCATTACTCTCTCTGTTTGCTTGCTGAATGAAGGTCTGCCTCTGAAATAACGAGCTTATGTAGTTCTTTCTGGGTTTGGAAATTTTTTTTAGCTGCTACCTTTTTTTATTTTAATTCTCTTTCAAGAATGATATTCTTTATAATAATTGAAGAATTTGTTGTACAAACTATAATTGTTCTTTGAGGAATCTATTGAAGGTGGGGGAACTAGATAATTAATATTGAACTTCAATTTTTGTTGAGTAGTTCAATTTCACCCAGTAGTTTTGTACTTGTATCATTTGTGGGAGATAATGATCTTTATATTAGAACAGTTTTTAATATGGATTTCTACCGTAAATTTATTGATTCTCCAGTGGTAAATCTCTTGCTGTTTTACTATTAGTATGCTGTTTATGACAGAAAACTGATTACTTTTGCTCCACCCTTCCTTTCTACCTAGAATTGTGAGCTACTGAGTGAGGGATCATGCAAGGCTTGCTGTGTTTCGCTTTGCGTTGTCATTATATGCTTGTCTTTATCTACTTTTTCATTATTCTACAGCTCACATGTGTTCTACCCCTCCAGTTGTCTTTGTCCGCTTTTATGCTGTGTTTTTGTCAAGTCATTAGTTGTAGCACTTGGTTGGGAAGGGGTTCAGATATAAACAAGAGTTCTCGTCGACTAATGATATGTAACGCATGACTCTATTTGAAACTGCTAAGTTTGATGAGAATGTTGACAGCTATCCTGCCAATTTACTGTCATGACTTTGCCTGAAATAAAGATATAGTGTAAGGTAAAAGTGATGCATGGTGCTGTAACTGACATTAAAGCTATTATCTTTAAATATTGCTTGGTTCATCCATTTTTGTAGGAGTTATTCACTGTCATGATTTCAGGAAGGAAATTTTTTATGTTAGAACTTTTGATGATCCATAGTATGAGAAAGTTAATGTTCGGTGAAATTAGTCGAGTTTCGCACAAACTAGCGTAGACACTTATCGATATAAAAAAAAGTTTTTCTTGTGGTAACTAGATTCATGAATTTTGGTCAACTAACTTTATGAAGTATAAAGTCCACTGATCAAAGTAGTTAGCATGTACCTATTCAATATCCTTATGAGAACTTATTTGTATCAAAAGATTCTGCCGTCGAATCCATTTTGAACAAATAAAAGCAAACATTCTATTTTATATATATGATATTTAGTACTAAATTATAGTTTACCATATATATCATATTTGATATTTTATTATAAGGTAGATATTTACCTTCTTACCATAGGTATCTTTACCTTTGTTGTTATTTCTATTTATTACTCTTTTCATATCCATGTAATTTATTTGATTATAAATAGATAACTTTCACACCATTTAAGTGTGGTGGATTAAGTAAACATTCTCAGTTTCAGCTAGCTTTCAAAGTTGCGAGCGTATCGTCGTGTTAAAAGTTTCGTCTTAAATCTTCTTGTAGGAGTATGAATACTAATTCAGCATCAAACCTTACTTGAACATGATATGTTCTATAGGTTAATTGTGTTCTCGAGTTCTAAGAACACTAATTCATTGTACTAAAACAACTGAGACGTTTATGCCTTTGCTTTTGTGTTGTTCTCGGTTTCTTATCGTTTAAACATCTTTTCTTCCTGAAACTCAGATGGAAGTGCAAAATCATGATCATGGTCACATGATTGAAGTAATTGGAGATGTGCAAGCAGTAGGGCCTAGCATTGTGGGAAGTAAAATTTGTGGGGAGGCACCTTCCTGTGGATTTAAAGACGCAAAAAACAGTTCGATTGATATGAGGGAGCGAAATGCATCCATGCGGAAGCTTTTCATAGCAGCTGTTTGCTGCATCGTTTTTATGAGTATAGAAGTAGTGGGAGGTATTAAAGCAAACAGTCTTGCAATATTGACTGATGCTGCTCATTTGTTGTCGGATGTTGCTGCTTTTGCCATTTCCTTGTTCTCTCTCTGGGCCTCTGGTTGGGAGGCAACTCCACGCCAGTCATATGGGTTCTTCCGGATTGAAATACTTGGTGCCCTCGTTTCCATTCAGATGATCTGGCTTCTTGCTGGGATTCTTGTTTATGAAGCCATTGTCCGCCTTATCAATGGTCCGGGAGAAGTCAAGGGGCTGCTTATGTTTGCTGTTTCTGCATTTGGGTTGGTTGTTAACATAGCTATGGCTCTGCTGCTCGGTCACGAACATGGTCATGCTCATTCTCATGGCCACAGTCATGGACATGGTGATCACAACCACGGTCCTGGTGGCCACGAACACGGTCATGAGGATCATAGGCATCACCATGGGATTAGTGTTACCGCACACCACCACCACCACCCCCACCACGAAGAAGAGGGAGCTGCCGGCGATAGTGTTAAGCATCAACATCATCACGCACATGAGGAATCAGTAACTACACCCTTACTTGAAAGCCATTCACAAAAGGTTACCAAGACCCAGAAAAGAGAACGAAACATAAACGTCCAGGGGGCTTACCTTCACGTACTCGGAGATTCCATCCAAAGCGTTGGAGTGATGGTTGGCGGGGCAATCATATGGTATAAACCCGAATACAAGATTCTTGATCTGATATGCACTCTCATTTTCTCTGTAATTGTGCTATACACAACAATTCAAATGCTCCGAAACATCCTCGAGGTTCTAATGGAGAGTACACCGCGAGAGATTGATGCAACGAAGCTCGAGAAGGGTCTATGCGAGATGGAGGAAGTAGTTGCAGTTCATGAACTGCACATCTGGGCGATAACGGTTGGAAAGGTTCTATTGGCATGCCATGTTATAATAAAGCCAGAGGCAAATGCAGATATGGTATTGGACAATGTTATAGAGTATATCAAAAGAGAGTACAACATCAGCCATGTCACCATTCAGATAGAGCGCCAGTAGATTTTCGGATTGAATCCATGAATGTTTATTTGTAGGTTTGGTTTAAAAGGAAAGATTTGCTTCTTTTGAATTCCCAAGAGTTTAACGTCTTCATTTTTCTTCTTAGATCTCATTTAAAAGTGATTTTCAACGATCTAAAAAACAAATGGGTCGATAATTAATTAGCATTATTTTAATTTCAAAATCAATAAACTTTTCTTAAGGGCATGTTCTAGTTAATGTTAATATTGCAGTATGCAAAACACCTAATCACGCGACTTTCAATTGATGAAGTTACCTATAAAATGCTATCATTTTAATGAATTGAGTGCCTTAGAGCCCATTTCCCTACAGATACCTTTTTACAATTCTGATTTTGAACGAGGACATGTTTGAGAAAAATCAAGCATGAGTGACAACTCTAAAAGTTAAGGTAATTGTACTTCGTCTCAATAGTTTCGATTAAGATAATTTCGATCTTCGTTAGAATCAGCTAACCAAAAGGTACCTTCCATTGATGTAGGTTTTCATGATTGTACCAAGACTGAAACATAATCTATCCCTGTAAATGTTTTTGGAGCATCTCATGTAATCATAGATGCAAACATTGACCTGATGAGAGAGAAGCTATAATTGCTGGTCCTACTCCTATCATGTGCCTCCCTTAGTCGCAAGCTTTTGCACTAACGATAGTGACCTTGTTTCTTACCTACTTTAAATATGATATCCTAATCTTTAAGGAATCATCTCAAAATTGCTATCAGTGTAGCTTTCAAGGTACTTTCACCTCGTTCTAGCCACTCATCTATTTACTTTATCCGACCAATAGAATCATATCAGCTTGGTAGAGCAGTTAACTGAGAAGGAATGAGAGATTAATTGACCCAAAGTTGACATGTTCGTAAACAAGTAAATGATACCAATATTATCTATGGGGCCTCAAATCAAAAGTACTTCTCCTTGCGAAAGATTCAAGATCTGGAAAACAAAAATATCAAATGGGGAATCTCAGAAAAATTGTAGGTGGCTAAAGATACCTCAAACTCTTAATCTCTCAGGCAAAACCTTTCCTTCAGTGTGGTGTCTTAAACAGGGCTTTACTGACGAGGCTAGTAGCCTCAATATAGCGCTCCATGCACCTGGAGATGCAACTGCTTTCACTCCCACTTAGGTTTGACCCTGGCTTTGTGATACACTTGTCAAAACACTTTACTCTTAAGGTCTGCAAAAAAGTGCAATTGGCAACTCCAAATTGTTGGAAAGTTCATTTCATTAATCGCAACTATTATCAAGAACCATGATGCTGCTACAAGGAACATACGCAGTGCAGGAAATATCAATGAAAAATTTTAAATTGTGAGAAAAAGGAAAAAAAGATTCAAATACCTAATTTGAATCCGGCTTTTAGATCTTTTATCAAGATACAAAACTATAACCAAACTGCAAAAGAACCGGCAAACACAACACCACAGACCCAAGTATGGTCCCAAAAACCCTTGACAACTGAAAATCTTACAGGAATGAAAATTCTACTGAACTCAGTATTTTCAATGTCCTACCCCTCCTGAGATTTATCCCATAAATAAAACTATTAGTTTCTATTCGCAGAAATTAAAGTCCAAGAATTACAAAATATATATATATATATTGTAATTCCATACTAATTTTTACAATAAAAGATATGATGAAAATATCAAAGCTGGTTCAATATCGATAACTCAAATAACAGACAAGTATTCCAGAAAAAATCAAAGATGTCAAAAAATTGTTGAAATTTTATAAATTTCTTAATAAACATCCCAGAAAACTTATTTAAGTCATAAACAATCATTTTAAACATTTATAACATTAACATATACATTAATATGAAAACAGATAGTAAAATAATGTATCTAAAATATATCTATAAAATTTTGATTAATTAATTAATTTATAGTCATGTCAACACACAAATACATCATTTAACAATAACAAGATATCTTTTTGGGAGTAGACAATAATTAATATGCTATTGATAATTGTATAAGAAAAACAATGAAGGAGACATTTGAGACAAAGATTTTTAATATGATTTGGTTATGGATTTGTGACCCTAAATTCTTGGCCTAGCCCTAAAACTCACACTACACCGTTTCAAAGTGAGATAAATCAAGGTATATGTTGGAGTCGAGAGAGAAGAAAAGCAACAAAGTGTCATGAACATAAGCAAAATATCACGGATATTAGATAAAATATCTGTAAAATATCAATAAAATATCAACAAATATCGACAATATCATTGGTGTTTTGGAAAAATGACTCTCCCCTTTATATCGTTTTCAAAAATTCAACTTTACCGATATTTCGGTCAATACCGACAGTATTTTCATCCTATGAGTGAGCATGATAAGAAGAAGAAGGTGTATATCAATCATAGTGGCCTAGACTATAGTCATGGAATCATAGCATTAACCCCATTATTATTCTACAGCCATCCTTTTCTTTTCCTTATCTTCCCTTCGTAGTTTCAATTGAACACGCAAAAAAATTTGTGCAGGTTGCCATTATTCCAAAAATGAAATTTTCCCATTTCCGAGATAACTGCTAGCCCAAAGAGTCTCATTTTCTTTTAAATCTCCTTAGGTGAAGTACATCGGATCTAAAAAGAGAAAGAATACATAGGGGCACTAGACAGCATCAATTGACCAACCACCGTAAGATGCTTTCCTTTAAATACGGCAATTGGAAATGTTCTTTTTAATGGGTTCCTCCAAGAGGCATATGGGGTACTGAAGTCTGCAGGGATGATTGCCCCTTCTGTGCATGTGCCTTGTCTAATAGCAAGCTGTTGCACCTCCAGATGACATGTATACATATGCCTTATCTAATAGCTAACTGTTGCACCTCCAGATGACACATATAGATGGCCACAATCACAACTTTCCTCGCATCAAACTTAAGGGTTGGTAATAATGTGAAGAATATTGAGGATATCATCAGTTGATTTATCATTCTAGGGGCAAAAAAAGAAAGAAACAAAAATTCAAAATGGTTTGCGAAAGGAGCCCCTAGTTTTAGATCCTATTCCCACCCCATAAGATGGGGCCACTTCCGTTCAAGCTTCAAGCATTTCCAAATGTTTAATGACTTAGAATAATGTTGTTCCACCATGTCTTTAAACTACCTAATTTCATACTGTCCGCCGGTCACTTTTCTATGAGCGCAAGCAAGGTTTAACCTATTAGACGAACACGACTCTTCACAATAGTATGATATTGTCCACTTTGAGCATAAGCTCTCATGTGGGCTTCCCCAAAAGGCCTCATACCAATGGAGATAGTATTCCTCATTTATAAACCCATGATCTTCCACTAAATTAACCAATGTGGGACTCACTCCCAATAATCCTCAACACAACCAACTATGATCAACCCTTTTTAGGGGTCTGGTAGGGGCCTAAATTGTTTGTCAAAATATCTAGAAATGATCTTTCGTTCCACATGCACAAACACTTTCCAAAGTGTTGATCTTGAAGAAATTCTGAATCACAAAGAAAATCCCTTCTAGCCCTTCCTGTTAACCCAAACAGGAACAATAAGATTCTTCACTCTCCAATTTCTCAAGACCTCTTCACAAAAGTCCCTATCTTATTAGAGAACTTTTTGATCCAAGTAAAACCATCGTCTGTACTGATCTTTATAAATCCTTACAGTGAGAGTAAATTAAAGAACGTGTCCTTTACCACACACCAATAATAGTTTCATGCTAAGGCACTAATTATAGGGTTCAAGAAATTTATTTCAGAAAGTTTGCTCCTCCTACTAGTACTAGCTACTCCCCTTCCGCGTCAAAAACAACGGGCAGACAAACTATTCTGTCAATAAATCCTACAAAACAAGTTAGACAAAAAAACTACAAGATAGTTGCTAACTTATAATCACCAAACCGAAAAAGTAACTCTAGAAACAGAGAGCAAGATCAAGTACTTTATTTCCATTGCACTCAAATCACTAAAGAAATTCTAAATGGATTGAACATTTCTACATCTTCAATTAGCAAATTTTAAAAAATGAGGATATAAAAAACAAGTTCGAACTATAACTGAGAAATGCGCATGTAAAGGATTCCATTTAATGTTGCGAAAGAATACTCCAAAATCTGTAGTCTCGACAATTCGCATTGATTAATTCTTACATTCCATCTTCAAAAGCCAGCTCCTAGCGCTACCCAAGCTTTAGACACAGAAATTCCGAATTCATTTCTACTATCACATAACACATAAAAGTGAAACGCATTCATCAAACCGAATACTCTAAGAAGTCCAGATATACGTACATCCGCACATACATATCGGTAACTCGACCAACAAGTTTAGTAGAAAAGAAACAAGTAGGGGAGAATTGAACCTCAAGAAACTCCTCTGCGTAGGCCTGGGCTAGCTGAGTCTTGAGCTGATCCCTGAATTCATTGGCAGAAAATTGGGAAGAATCGCTTGACGGTGACGAAAATGAATCCATTTGTTCGGTGGTTGCAAAACCCTATAAACCACTGCCTATTTGTAGTTTGGTTGCGCCCCAGAGCTGATTTTGTTGTCGAGGGAAGCGACGGCGACACAATTAGGGCGCGTAGGGTGCGGTTCAATTTTATCCCGCCGTTAGAATAGTTTATTATTTTATTTATTTATTACTATTTTCATTCTTAAATTTAAATTTAAATTTAGTTTTTATTTAATCTACCGGATTGATTTTAATTTTTAATTAGTCTCTAAATTTTGAATTTTGATAATATATAGAGTTGAAAAAAAATATAAATTTTTATTTTTTATAACTAAACGACTCATTAAAATGAATTTCAAACTTCAAGACCAAACCTATACCAATTTTCTTTTAACCGAGCTCTATAAAATTCATTTTATAGACCAATAAAACTCATCTTTTCACATTTAGGATTAACAAAATCGAGCTCTATAAGATGAAACCAAAATTGAGCTCTAAATTTTTATGTGACACTACCACTTGTAACAATCGCACTTTTGATGGCAGCGGACTTGCGATTGTGCGACACTTACTTTCCAACGACAAGTGAGTAAAACCAATTCGTTCTTACATCGCCTATGGTCAAGTGACGTATGCTCGAACCTCTGGCCTCGGTCTAAGAAGAAGGATTTAGAAAACAGGGGCAGAGAGAGATTTCTGAAAGAAAGAATTTTGAAAGAGACGTTATATATGCAAGCAAGAGAGTAAAAACAACGGCTCACGATATAAAACTAAGGAGAAGTGGACAAAGGTATCATTCCTTACCATTATTCTTTTTTACTTTACAATTAAAAAACTGGTTAATTAGTTAATTAAAATGAGTCCTCCTTTCCTAATCTCATAGTTGCCCCTAACCTTCGAAATTTCATGATTCTTCTATGATTAAATCTTTTTTTAGAAAGGAATAAAATCTTAAAAGAATGGAAGGTAATGACTCAATCCTAAGAACTTTAAAATTAAGTATGTTTTGTTGAAAGTAATTTTATGTTTAGTCACCTCCTATAAATTTTATAAGAATGAACGCGAGTGAAGATAAAACATGTTAGAAAGACTCTTAGTTTATGGGAGGAAGAGATAAATTTGAGGTTGAAAATTTTATTTTTACGGGTTAAATCATATATAAAGTGTGTATCTGATTGCAATTATTATAAATAATCAATTAATTTAGAAAAAGAAAGCGTCATTAATGATTAGTCATTGTTTAATTTTGTCTTTGGTTAAATAAAGTTGCAAAAAGAGGCAAGGACAAACCTATATGAGAAAATGAAGTTCACTAACTTTACAAAAAAATAAATAAAACAACTCATCAATTGAATTCTTAATTACGAGAATATATTCAATTGGATAATCTAAAATGACCCGACCCAAACAATAACAACTAGATTGGGTTGGATTAGTGTTTCAAGTTGATTTTCTAAACCCAAATAGATTCAGTTCGAATTTCGAATTTATACATTAATTATCTTTTTCATAATTTAAAATTTCGACCGGTGAAGAATTAGCACTTTTAATATATATATATATATTATAAAAATAGTATGAAATATAAAATGAGAGTACTATTACAATAGAAAATTTTTTGTCTTTTTTTTTTAATATATTATATTAAAGATAAAATTATAAATTTAATTCATAAATTTTTAAATATGCATTTGTTTGGTTAAAAATACCTAAATTTGTTGTATAATAAGTTTTTGAATTTTAAAAATATATAATAAATTTACAAAATTTAAATTTGGTGTCAAACAGCAGCCATATAATATATTATATGTAAAATGATTTTATATCATATTGTATCTAATTAAAAGTTTAATGAAATATTATACTTTATATTAACAAGAAATTTATATATATATATATATTTATTTATTGTACAAATAAATTATGAGAAAGTGCTTAAAAAAAAAAAAAAAAATTGGGCCCACGTGATGAAAGTTGTCACTAGAAGAAATGTGGAGAATATGATGAACTCCCACATCGAATTTCATCATCTTCAGTTTGCCATAATTTCACACAAACCCCATCCATCTTTTTCTCCCTCTCTTTTTATATAATTATTTAATTTTCGAATAACTTTAATTAAATGCTTTAATTTTTTTTTTTATTAATATAAATAATTTAGAAGCTCATAACGACATGGTAGTTGAATAAGAAAGTTGATTGACAATAATAGTCAACAAAACATTTAAATGCAATAATTTAATTCTATATTATATTAACTAAAGCCAATAATAATATTTATTTTATTTATTTATTTATTCCACTTTGATTTTTATATTAAAATAAAATAAGCATAAATATAGGGCAATAGAATGAGATTCTATTTCCAAATTAGGTGAATTGAGGGGTGGAATATCCTATTCCAAATTGATTCCTTTATTCTCAAAACAGAATACAAAGAATTTTGGCGAAACATTTATTATTGTTGGATTCCAAAATACCATTAATTAATGTATTTCATTCAACCATACAACTAATTTAATGCCCATCTTTATTAGGGTTTTCAAAGAAAGTGAAGGTTCAAACTAATGGATAACCACTGCCCTTCGAGATAACAATGTTCATAGTATTTCATATAACCATTCATGACCTGGAAAAGCCTCAAATCAATCGATCTTTTGAGATTGATGGTTTAAATCTTCACTTGATATATATCTTCGAGTTCTTCCTATTTGACCTGAAATTAATCGATCTAGCCATGAGAGAGTTGAAAAAATAGCTTTAACAGGCCTTGGAGGACCGAACCCACATATGTGGCAAAATACGAGGAGAACCAAGATCGGATATAGCTGGTTTTCCATGAAATCTATTTCAGTAGAGCGTATGATGTCGATGGCCCAAGGTAGAGCACTTAATGGACTAGGGTGGTGTGTAATGTATTGTATGTCTCATAATAGGTCCCATTCTTCTAGTCTTATTCATAACTATTAATAACTTGACACCAAAAAAGAGTTCAACCCAATGCTTTATATATGGCTAAAGCTACAACTATGTTGATCCATTCACAAGTGTCTTGAAATCAAACTGCTCAGAGAAATTATTAGCTAACTTTTTAGTCAAGTTTACGTAGAATAATCTTATCTTTTTCATTTTTAATCAACCTGAGACTTGATCGATTCAAAAAAAGAAAATGAAAAAAATATTCTTCTCTATCTCATTTTTTCAGTTTTAATCAACGGGAGGCGATGTTTAATTGATTCGGAAAAAAAAAATGAAAAAGTATTTTTCTCGATCTCGATAAACACGCCACCAAACACAAGAAGAAAAAAGAAAAAATTAATAATGAGGGGGAAAATGTTTTATATTTCTTAAAAAACAAAACAAAAAAAAAAAAAAAAAAAAAAAAAAAA